ATTAGATCTTTTTTTGGCAGAGGAGCAGTAGAACGTTACTACAAGGACCAACACGACCTTTCACCAGCACATTGAGGTATTGATTCAAAAGATTCCATTACATGGCTCAAATTTTTATTAGAAGTACTGTCTCATTGTAAAGTATGGTTTTGACCCTGTCAAAACCCATTTTCACCTCCTTTTATGGCTAAATTCTTTCCCACTTGGATGAAGAGTTAAAAGTGAAAGGATTTTATTCAGCTCAGCTTGACAAATGACACATGCTTTGGGCACTGAAGCTAAAGTATAAAAACCCCAAAGCAGAGATGCTTTGGGGAAGGAGCATTTTCCTTTTTCATTGCTAAACTGATGATCTCCTTCTCAAAACAGCAAAATCTCATTTCCAAACGATGAAACATAAGATTCATTAAAACAGTCATGCACTTATCCTGGACTCAGCTGTTTCCCCATGTGAAACCACAGAAAAAGAGAGAAAGATATGATTTTACTTACTTTCCTTTGTTAAACACCAAGAAGCTAACATTGTGGGACCCTGGAGGAGAGAAAAGTAATATGCTTTATGGCAGAAGCATGGAGAGCTCCATGAGGAGTGCATCCTACCAAACCTTGTCCAGGTGTCCTGGGACTGACTCTCCTCTTCCTTACACTTTCCTTGTGACAGTACAACTATGTTGATTTCAGCAGAGTGTGTGTGCAGGAACTGAATATCAGTTTAGGGATCTTAGAGCCTAAGATCATAGGTAGACACTATATTGTAGATAAGTACAGTTATGTAGCTGGACCTGCAAGCTGAATATCAGGGCAGGATTTAGTTGTCTAAGTGCTTTGTGTCATCTTAGACCCCTTGGATCCCATCTAACCTCACTTGCCATGCTAGGAAGGTGCAGACCTCCTGCAAGATGTCCATTATCTCTGACACCACTTTGTAGAGATTCCAGATACCCCAAGAGAATTCTAAAATTCAGGCTATTGAGTGTTACATTCAGTGTCTGCATGAGAGCCAGATATTAATTTCTATTTTATATATTTAACTCAGATCATCTCTCCCAAGCAGGAAGCTCACTTCTCAGACAAAGCCTCAGAAAGAAATCAGAAGCTTCTTCAGAGTGCTGGGAAGCAAGGAAAAATGAAAGGAATCCAACCTGCTACCAGAGAGACCATGAATAAAAGTGGGCACCCAATTTATTCCTTTCTGATAACAGAGCAGGAAAGGGAAGGTCCATCATGAGAAGGAATAAAGTAAAAAAATGTAAACTGAGCAAAGTCCCCAAATCACATTGTTGCCATCAGCAATGTTCATATCATCTCTGTCATGGTTTCACTTGAGCACTGAACTCCATTTGCTCCAAGGCCATGCAGAGGATGTGAATCACTGCAGTGGCTGTGTTGAACTGGGCTAAGCCTTGATGTGAAGTATGTTTTATGGACTCAACCCTGAGCCAAATTCCTAACCCGAGACAGGAGGAACTTACGATGGACACCCTTCCTCTGCCCTGTGGAGCTGCAGGAATAACAGAAACCCATGTTTTTCCCCTTTTCACCAACCTATGTGGTGCCCTTCCACCCGGCACTGCAGGGTCCCCACTCCATCCTCTGCTCGAATAGGGTAGCTGTGGAGAGACAAAGGACTTTGTTAAGTCTTGTAAGCAAAATACAGTGAGAATCATTGAATCAAAGATGTGGACTTACTTATCTGAGCTAGTCACACTTGGCTCCCTTTAAAAATAAAGGGGAGATACAAGGAGAGGAATTCATCTCCCCACTGATCTTCAGGAGCTCAGCAGCTTAGGAAGAAATCTACCAGCAGGACTCAGCACTTCAGATTAGTACTTTTAATGTTGTTGCCAGAAGCTTATCCTGTTGGTGACCTTAAGAACCCACCTTTGAAATAAGAGCTGAGGGAAGACAAGTCTGGGCACAGGTTGAGGGTGCATAGGCTGACAAAAGTGTTTCCCCTCTACTTGCACCTCTGCGTGTCCCAAATATGTCAGTATCTCTAAGTCCCAAATCATCGCTGGACCTGACAACAGCCTCTGGCCCTGCCTGATTATGGCTAGAGCCACCAAGAGACAGCAGCCCTCACCCACCCCTGTCACAGATCATATGGTCAACTCCTCATGGTCCCTCCCCATCTTATGCCAAAACAGAAAATCTTCAAAAGCCAATAAAATGTTTTTTGCACAAGCTGTGCTGAGCCCTTGCACCAACACAAACCAAAGGTAAGTCAAGAACTGACATGCTTCCAGCTCGCCTGTCAGCGAAAGAGCAGAGACTGATCCATCCATCTCCTTCTGCCACAAGGATAGCTGGTCTGGGTAAGAAAAATAAAAAGGAAAGATGAGATATGATACAACAAATGAAATTTGTTTCACAAATGAAATCCTGATCCTGCTAAAATCAACAGTCAACATTTTCAAATGGGACAGGAATTTCCCCTCACTCATATCTCACATCTATTAACCTCCTAGAAAACTAGACAAACCCTAATCTCTTATCTCTTCACTTGCAACCTGTATTCCCCAAATATTATGGGAACTGCATCTCAGTAAAGATTGTTGCAGGACTGCCATCAAGACACTCGTGCTAGTTCTGAATGACCTGATGTCTCCTCCTTGTAAGGAAGGGTTGGTAGTCTGAGCACCAGAAGGACCATACCCACCCTTACCTTCCAGAAGCATCAAGCAGCAGAAGTACAACATCATTCTCATACAGCCAAGCTGCTTTGAGAAGTAGGTCAGGTATATCTTTATTTTGTTGAGGAAAAACACCACAAGCAACCTCTACTAGAAATCACCCAAGCTCCTAGTAGCAAATTCAAGTATCCTCACCTTAAAAAAAAAAAACAATGTGGCAGGGGACAACTTCAGGAAAAATCAGGTGGAACCATCAATTCACAGTAATTAGCATAATAAGCAAAGGATGGCAATGATTCTTTGAGAATTAACAGGGAATTAAGGAAAATATGCAATTAAAGACCATAATGCAAACACTTTGCTATGACTCATGCTTCAGAGTGTAGTTTTATGAGGTTTAATAAGAGTTTGCTTTTATTAATATCATAGAATGAATCATAGGATCATAGAATGGTCTGGGTTGGAAGGGACCTTAAAGCTCATCCAGTTCCACCCCCCCTGCCATCAGCAGGGACACTTTCCACTAGATCAGGTTGCTCAAAGCCTCATCCAACCTGGGTGACAGCATTTGCTGATATTGTATTCAACCTTTTAAGGATGAATAGAAAGAAAATTGATGCTGCAAAATGTTTGGTTCAGCATCACTGGACCATTGCATCCCGTACACAGCATGGAAAAGGGTGCAGAACACACTTGGAAGTATAAAAATGGTTCTCTTTTTTTTTGCTCCAAATCCTGAATCAGTGTGACTGAGCGATAGACTGCTCTGGTCAAGTCCAAGTCCTCACCTAGTACATATTTACTAACACACCAAAAAAGGGCAAATTATTCATGTGAAGCTACAACGTGAACCTGACTGCTATGCTAAGATTTTGAGTCCATTTCCTTTTTAGCAATAGTGAGTTTAAACTGTAAATGAGTAATCCAGCACTGGAGCATTCAGGCATGTCCAACCTACAGTCAGGCAGACCAGCTTCTCTTCCCACTGATCAAAGGTTTCACAGTTCCTCTAAAGGCAGGTAAAACAATAATTAATATCAAACAAAGGATGCTAATGTGTATCCAGTGAGGAAAAACGGAGGGCTGATAAATGAGTGCAGTTGGTATGGCAGGAATCTGCACTGGACTTTCATTCACACTAGCAGAGAATTTAGTTACTTAACAAGGGACATTTTCATTCAGTCTGAGTAGCAGTTAAAAAGCATATAGTGGTCAAACATAGAATCATAGAATGGTTTGGATTCGAAGGGACCTTAAAGCTCATCCAGTTCCAACCCCCCTCCCATCAGCGGGGACCCCTTCCACTAGACCAGGTTGCTCAAAGCCTCATCCAGCCTGGCCTTCAACACTTCCAGGGAGGGGGCATCCACAACTTCTCTGGGCAACCTGTTCCAGTGTCTCACCATCCTCACAGTGAAGAACTTCTTCCTAATATCTAATCTAAACCTCCCCTCTTTCAGCTTAAACCCATTTCCCCTTGTTTTGTCATTAGTTGCCCTTATGAAAAGTCCCTCCCCAGCTTTCTTGTAGCCCCTTCAGGTACTGGGAGGCCGCTATAAGATCTCCCTGGAGCCTTCTCTTCTCCAGGCTGAACAGCCCCAACACTCTCAGCCTGTCTTCATAGGAGAGGTGCTCCAGCCCTCGGATCATCCTGGTGGCCCTTCTCCGGACTTGTTCTGACTGGTCCATGTCTTTCTTATGTTGGGGGCTCCAGAACTGGGTGCAGTATTCCAGGTGGGGCCTTACAAGAACGGAGCAGAAGGGCAGAATCACCTCCCTCGACATGCTGGACATGGTTCTCTTGATGCAGCCCAGGATACGGTTATTGGCCTTCTGGGCTGCAAACACACATTGTCTGCTCATGTTCAGCTTCTCAAACATCTACTGCTGCAATCAATATTTTTAACTACTATGTATATACAACTTCCCTGGCTCCTGAAATAACCTTTAAAATGCCAGCACAGTATCTATAGATTAGTAGTTTATCTTTAGAATACTCTCCTGGGCTTAGTTCTTCACTGCCATTGACAGAACTGCAGGGAAATCATAATTCAGTAGTATCTGAGAACACTTCCATGCATATGGAAATACACATGGCAGACAGCAGGTCAGCATTCATGCTCCTTTTGGATTCACTGTGTTTAAAGTACTGTCACAGACTGAAGTTAATTTTTAAAATCTACCTGCTTTGCTCTGTAACCATAGAAGCAGCAGAAAATAAAAATCAAACCTTCCTTGAGAACAAGGAAGTGACCAGAGAGGGTTTAAAGCAGTGAACAACAAAGCCTTTTTGTCTCAAAATACTTCTGCTTTGTCTTCTGACTCACCAGAGCATCTGTTTTAAACTAATAGCTTTTCTAAAAAAATGCAAATGGAAGGGAAAATTTATTTAACTTTTAGATTCTGACATTATTTTAATTAGTTAAATTTTCATTTGCTACCCCAAATAAAATCTACAGCAACCAGACACAATTACAGTACAATTCACACTGAGCTGTGATTGACTGTGCTGCCAGTAAACAAACCAACTAACTTAATGGACCAGTTGCAATTAGATTAACAAAGTTTGCTGGAGCCCAAGTCATGAGCTTCAATAAACCACAAACGAAGTAAATGGCAATTCCGAGCCAACTGGTTGCAATTTATTGCTGTCAAGGAGGCTGATGGAAGAAACACTAATTTACAGGGACTGAGTCAGAGAGCAGCCTATATAATAATTACCCATCAATAAAATCCACGTTGAAGTCCAGGGTTTCATATCTTTCAGCAAGTATCTTCCCATGAATCTCTATTACATTTCCTGTTTAGAAGGAAATAGAAGTTGAAGAGAGTCTTTTAAAAGCAGAGAATTTATATGTGGAAATTTTGTGAGCTGAACAAACAAATTTTTGGTCTTTGCAAATTTTACAGAGGTGTGCCTGATGTCTACTCTCAGCTTCTACTATAGTTCAAGGTGACTTTGCACTTAATTCACTTTTCCCAAAACTTCTATCTCTATTTCCCACAAAAAAGTCCATTCCTGATTTTTTTAGCAGATCTCTAGTATTTGTATTGAAAAGACAATTTCTTCAGCTCTTTTGTTAACTAAACCCCAAATTCTAACCAAATTCCACTGTAAAATCTCATGAGGCAACCAAAATTACATTATTTGTACACTAGACAGGGTCAGGGTCTAAAGAAGGTCCTCAGCATACGTCATTGAATCATTTAGGTTGGAAAAGACCTTTAAGACAAAGTAAACCTATCACTGCCAAGACTGTCACTAAACCATGTCCCTAAACATCATATCTACACATCTCTTAAATACCTCCAGGGATGGTGATTCCACCACTTCCCTGGGCAGCCTGTTCTCGTCAGAGAATAATTTTTTCCTAGTATACAATTTAAGTACGTAGCTGGCTAAATCACTCCCAACATCCCCTTGATCATACTGGGTGACAGCTTGGTTCAGTTGCCTGCATGCAGGTTTCCTAAATCATCTGAGGCACCCTGCCCTCCCACTATGGCTCAAGAAGGGAATGAGTCTTCCTGGTCCTGTTTCATATGTTCCTGCTTCATGCAGCTCCTTCATGATCCAGGACATCTCAAATAACACTAGACACCTAGTGTTACTCATTCTTCACTGACCACACTGGGAGGTCAAACATTCAGCTGACATAGAAACCTCCATACAGACACCCTAAAGCAAGGTATGAGAAACTGGAGCTGAACTGCACGTGAAAGTAGTTGGAAATGAAGCATGGACTTTGATTTAGGAGCATCTGTGTGATCTAATCACCCAGTTATCTCTGCACTCTTGAGAGCCATTAACTAAAAGTCTGCATGGCATTACAATATCATCACCTAATAGCTAATTCTTCTTAAAACTATTACTAAATAAATAGGGTCAAGATGACACAAGAGTTGAGATTTATTAGAACTGTTCATCTGCTGAACAGCTCTTTACTCAGGCAGAGCTGGGCTGCAGAAGTTAAGCACCAAATAACCTGGTCACTGTGCCTTTTACCCATTTCTCTTGCATCCAGTGCTGCAGACTCTCCCCCCTTGTGCAAACCCATTTTCCTGTTCAGCACGAGCTTGGACATTAAGTTCTGGAGGTGCTCATTTTAATCACCAGCAAGACAGATCCCTCATAAGGAGAAAGACAGTATGGAACATCAAATAATAATTAAAGTGGGCTTCAGCTTAAAGAAAGGTCCCATACCTGGGATACCAGATGGTGGACTAATGTGGTAAACCACAGGTGTCTGCGCAGCAGAGAACTGCAAAGAGAAATTTGTGGTTAAATGGCAGTCATTTTCACAGCAACCCAACAAGATCTGATTACTCACTGTTCACAACACAGTTGGCAACAGCATTTCAGAGTCTCACACTTCAGCTTTGATCTTTGAAGCTGAAGTCCTGCTCTGAGAAGAAAGTACAATGTCTCCTTCTTGCCTCTCTGTATTCAGAGTATGGCTTACTGCTATTTTTGCATCCTCTTTGTGCCCCAAATTGTCCACCCTGGCTTGACTCAGTTCCAGAAGATATGGTTTAATACATTACAAAATTTCTTGCTTTCTGTGTTTTATCTGAAGTCAAGACCTCCATTTTATCTGGCATTATGGCACCATTTTTCTTCCCAATAATATACTCTTGAAAACTGTTTCTACATCACAGAAGTGAGATACTTCAACTAGCCTTTAGCAAGCTTGCTGAGTACCCTAAAGCAGTGTAGCAAAAAAACATACTTATATTTGCCCATCTTAATGCAGTGTAACACATCAGAGGTTCTTCAGGAAAGCACTACCTTGCCCTCTGAGGAAACAGCAAATAAATACTGGAAATCTGCTATGGTGTACTATTTTTTACTTTAACAGAGTTCAAGAAGGAGCAGAAAGATTGTGCTTTGAGGTAAGCATCTCAGAAGATGGGGAACACAGAGGGACACTTTCCAAGTGGAGGAAGGTCATCATCAGCCTCCCAAAGTAGCTGAGAGACATGGATCACAGAATCACAGAATGTTGGGGATTGGAAGGGACCTCAAAAGATCATCCAGTCCAACCCCCCTGCCGGAGCAGGAACCTAAATGAGATCACACAGGAAGGCGTCCAGGCAGGTTTTGAATGTCTCCAGAGAAGGAGACTCCACAACCTCCCTGGGCAGCCTGTTCCAGTGCTCCATCACCCTCACTGTAAAGAAGTTTCTTCTCAAGTTTAAGGGGAACCTCCTGTGTTCCAGCTCACACCCATTGCCCTTTGTCCTACCATTGGGCATCACTGAGAAGAGCCTGGCTCCATCCTCCTGATATTCGCCCTTTACATATTTATAAACATTAATGAGGTCTCCCCTCAGTCTCCTCTTCTCCAAGCTAAAGAGCCCCAGCTCCCTCAGCCTTTCCTCAGCGGGGAGATGCTCCACTCCCTTCATCATCTTGGTGGCTCTGTGCTGGACTCTCTCAAGTAGTTCCCTGTCCTTCTTGAACTGTGGGGCCCAGAACTGGACACAATATTCCAGATGTGGCCTCACCAGGGCAGAGTAGAGGGAGAGGAGAACCTCTCTTGACCTACTAACCACACCCCTTCTAATGCACCCCAGGATGCCATTGGATATCTGACCTGGCACAAGTTTTGGATGCATTTTCAACAAGTAGAGCAGCCATTTTGCCCCTTTTCTGCAGTTAACTCTAAAATCTGTGAGACTTTTTTAACCAAAATTACTCTAGAAATTTTTTTTGTGTAGCTGACACCAATCCTGTTCAAATGGTATCGTGTGTGGAAGCACTACTGGTCAAGTGGCCAGAGGCACACATGGTCGTCCACACACTTACCACATATGGAACCAATGTTTTCTGTAAAGGTCCCTATCCCTCCCTGGAAGATGGCAAACCAAACAAGACAAATAAATAGATGGTTTCAGCAGCTAAAAATTACCTTCTGTCCAAATCAAGCACCTGGATCCTTGGACTGGAGGAAATAAAAAAATTTGGATGTGTTTAAAAATAATTCCTGAAGATAAGGAGTTTCTTCCAGCACACTGGGTATTATACAGTGCTGGGTTAGCTGACTATCATCTTGTAACGAGCTGATGTAGTTGAGATAGTGTGGTCTGGTGTCAGTGGGAAGCTGAATATCTTGGGAAGGCCAGAAGGACAGTTATGGAAAGGGGAGGTGGGCTCTTGGATTAAGGCTATATGAGTAAAAAAAAAAATAGTTTGGAACTTGTTATTTGGCCCAGGGAACAACAAGGCTTGTATACATGCAAGGAAATTCTCCCTCTACACCAAAAAGAAGGTGTCCTGATCCATGCTGTCTAATGGGAGTAGACTTGCCATCAGCCAAAGCAGAAGAAACTGCACCGAGGAACAGAAGCTAGGCGATCCCAGGCAGTGCTGGAGACCACATCCTGACCCTGCCTTGCTAACTAATACAGGCACAGCCATGCATTTTACAAGGAGACCTTGGCAAAACCACCTCACTTCTTTATACCTCATATCTGCTCTGAAAAATAAGAGTAATGTCATTGTCTTTTCCCAGTGCAACATTTACCACTCCAGAAATCAAAATTACTATGTGAAAAACATGTGTCAGATCCACCAAGGTATTTAGGGGTCTTGGGTTTAAATGGATGTATAAAGGCACCTGGCTTGTTCATATTTTATAAAATCCATTTGTGTCTCTGCTTTCTTAGGAGCTATAAATGCATCCATAAATCTGTCCTGCAGTCCTGCTAGGTGGCTAACTCCTGTTTCCATCTAAGTCATTAGCTGCTTAATTTCACTAACCTTACAGAAAAAATACATTTCCCATGTGCCTCCATTCCCCAAATCACCCATTTCTTAGAGCCTTTTCCACACATCTTCACCCTGCCCACCTTCTTTTTGAGACCTCTCCTGTCCTCCTTTGTATTTAACCAATGTTGCTGTTAGACAAATAAACATCATAAACTCATTTGCTGAATTAAACCAATTCAAAGACATAATTGCATATGTTGGATTTTTTTCTGAGCTTTTCTTGAACCCCATTCCCTTCCAAAGTTCAATCTTTGTCTTCCCTCTTCCTCATGGTCATGTTAAAAATGAATGAGTAGCCACAAAAATCCCTCTCCAGTGATAGCCACTTCTGAGAAGGAAAGGCAACATCATGCCATACCCTAGGCTGGAGCTTACGCAGAGAAAGAAGCCAAAAGAACATGAAAGCCTGGGCCACTAGCTGACACAAGTCTTCCAAGCTGTTCAGACTTGTTGCTGCCTGCAGCAGGCTTTTCCAATCTAATGTGGAGGCAAAATTAATTTTTAATACGCATAGCTCCCAGGTCCCAGTCCCAAAACAAAGAGACACATTGTGTTTTATTTAGCTTGGAATGTGCCTCATTAACAGCATCCCCTGGTGATTTTTCATCAACTCTCTAAGCTAGCTGAACCACCCAATGACTCTTCAGCTTTAATGTGCAATTTACTGAAAACGCTGGGCTTTTGTTGCTCGATGCTCAAAGTTAGCAGAGAGATGGGACGTGACTTCCAAACGCATCAGGCCTCATCCTGAAGCACACAGCCATGCTTAAGGATTCTGCTCTGCAAGAGATCCTAACACCATCATCATTAACTGATCTGATATCACCATACCCCACAACATTCAGCTTTGACACTGAGTGCCAAAGGGAAAATAGTGATCTGGGGGAGAGTGGCAAGCTCTCAAAATAAAGGAACAGCAGATATGAAACCATAACTGAGGTCAGAGCTTTCCAAATCTTGTGCAGATAAGGTGTGGAATGCTGTTCTAGACCTGGAGAGATGTTCTTTCCTGGAACCAGTCGTGGGAGGTGTCCATGCCCGATGTTACCTGTCCATGCAGACTTTTAACTGCCACCCTGCAGCTTGGAGGTTAACATCAGAAGAATCTGGCATAGGGTCTTCTAACACAACAGTGTCTTCTGACTGTGTGGCTTCAGTGCAGAGACAGATAAACTTGGACACGGATTTTTTTGATTCAGAAAGACCTCTTAGGTCACCTATTCTATCCAGTGCCAGACTGATGAGTACCTCAATGCACCTAGTTTTAAGGGACAGAAGGAGCTTCCTTACTTCTTGTCCTGACATGCAATCAGGCCTACAGTATGAGAGATAATATTTCAACACATTCTCTGTGATACTAAGTCTGAAGTTTGACTCCCTTCAATACCTTGAATACTTTATCATCACTTCTATCTTTGCTTGGTGGTTACCTTGAAAGTATAGTTTTCTTTCTCCACTTCAGTCAGGTTGTTAATTACATGTCCTTTAAAGATCACCTCCACATAGTACAAACCTTCCTGGGGTGAAGACCTAGGTGGAAGAAAATATAATATTTTTATACAGATCGAGTTTATATTTTAGGAAATGCCAGGTCCTTCACAGAGTCACCATTCTTAGTTTCACTGAGGCTTTGATAGAGAAAAAAGATAAAATATGAACCCAAACTTTACACATATGAACACAAACTCTGAATCTACAATTTAAAAGAAATGTGGAGGCACAGCAAGAAATTACAGTTATGTGCAGAAGGTGATAGGACTACATCAGAACTCTATCCAAATTGTACATTAATGCAAAACACAGACGTGCTCATTAGTGTTCATTAATACTAATGAATAATTGTAATTCATTAGTATTAAAATAACCCAGGGCTGCCTGGATTTACAGGGTGTCTTGATCCTGGTTTGTAAATTAATGCTGCATTCTTAATGCACACAGTTTCCCAGCACTGCAGAATTAACTCCCAAACGAATCATAGCAGTAAGAGATGAAAGAGCCCCATCAAGGGTCACTCTTAAAACCTCTTACAACATCCCTAGTCCTCCAGTCATATAATCTTCTTTAAAGTTATGACAGGATGGAAAATGGGGAGTTTAGATTGTCCAGCTGGTGCTTGAAATCGTATTTGTTTCCCACTTTAAACATAACCTATCATCTTGGACAGGTCAAAGTTACAAGAACCTGGTAAAATCCCCCTTGAGATTTTCTTGGGAGTTTTGAATCTAAGAATTAGACTTCTACAAACCTTTGAGAATGTGAATCAAGCCTCTCCAAGAAGCCTCACTCTGACCGTGATGCTAGCTAGCTTGATACTTCATTAGGTTGAAACAAGCCAGGTTGGATGAGGCTTTGAGCAATGTGGTCTAGTGGAAGGTGTCCCTGCTGATGGCAGGGGGGTTGGAACTGGATGATCTTTAAGGTCCCTTCCAACCCAAACCATTCTATGATTCTATAAGGATAATTGCAACACAGCTTAGGAGATGCTCAGGTGTAGCCACAGTAGAAGTCCTAGTAATTCCTCAAATTACGAGACTGCTTGTACAGACATAGAGAAAAAGAGGATCCTACTAGACAAATGTCTAGACAAAGGTCTCACCCAGGCATGGATCTTACCTTGTTCTGCACTTCATAGTAGATAAGCCAATATACACAGGAGAAACATCACACGGCAACCTGGGCAGATCTTGATTCACCAGGAACACTTCCAGCTGGGCCCTACTGGCTGAAGAGATATGTTCCAGCTGGTGGGATGTTGAGCCTAAGTAAGCAAAGTCAGCCAGAAGAGCTCTGTGAGGACAGGATCACTCATGTTCAGTCACATATGATATAAACATATTTTTGAATGTGTAACCCAGCTTCTCTTTAGGAGCAACACTTAGACCCTCTCATCAGACTTTTTAAAATGATGTTTGTGTAATTCCATATTAAGACAAGTCATCCCACCATGCAGCTGCATGCCTTTTTTTGCCTTTATACAATACTTGGTCTCTTCCACGTGTATTCCACTGCAGAGGTTGACAGTTATTGGGAGTTTGAGTCATCTCAACCATCTACATTGAAAAAAAACCACCATGTCCGTAGGTACTTGAAGCACCTTCAAAATTAGTATTGTTTGACATGGTCTTTACAGTTTTTGATGTCCTGATTAGTTTTGCTGACAGGACCTCAGGTTGGCTTGTGCTGCAAGGTGGACCTGTTTAGCCCATTTCTTTAGAATGAGCTTTCCTAAGGATCAAAGACTTTCAATCTTCACAAAGTCAAGCTTTATCTGAATATAAACTAGCATGATTAACTTTCATAACATAATCAAATACAACTAGTAATGAAGAAGGCTTACAAACAGCTCTTCCTCTGCTCATGGTTTTCACAGGTGGTTCCCAGCCCACAGACTCACTTTACGTTACATCAGTGGTTTCTTGATTTGCAAACTGCACATTTCCTTTTGGTTCCAGAAAAGTTTCTTCCACTTCTCACAAGGCCCAGCTGTCTGTTCTCCCCCTCCAAAAAACCCTACTCTTTGAACATGGAGTTCCCAAATGCGACATGCCACTCTTCATGCCACATAGTGCTGTTGAGGAAACATCTCCCTTGACAACATCAGCTTCCTTTCTTCCCTTCATTTCATCATCTCTATGGGAATGCACAATATTCCCACAAATAAGAATGATACCAGTCATCATAGTTATAAATGACCAAGTGTCAGAACTTGAACAGCAAAACCAAACATACAGCTGTCTCAGAAACCAACTTTCTTCCCAATGAATCAATATCCAGCACTATGACATATCAATTTCTGTGACTTTCCCTCAGACCTCATGTTTATCATTAGTGTTTTTTAAAAGCTCCAGCTTCACAAGACCTATGAACAGATGAGAGTTTCAGCTTTTCAAAAAAAGTGTGGCAGGGAAGAAATTTGTAGCCCTACGTCTACAAAAATAAGGTAGAAATCTGACTTGCTCTCACTTAGAAAAAACTTAGAAAAAAGGAACCATCAGCAATAGCTTATGAAGTAATACTTTCAAGTTGATTTTATGTTATGGGTGCCACAGCCATTGTGTTTGTTGCTTAGGGTTTGTCACTCCAACCACAAATCTCAGAATGGAACAGATTCTCTTATTTTGACATATACTTCGCAAGAATTTAAAACTCACCATCCAGGGTAATAGTAATCCACGTTCCTCCAGCCACACTTCCCTCTTGGGGCTTAATGAGCAATCCTGTAGCTGTCACTGCAAAAACAACCCAGCTACATCAGGCTGAAGAGTAATGCAAACATCTAAAATAACTTATTCAGGATGAGACATATTGGTCTGAAAGCTGTCCTCCTGTGATCACACCCTTCATCTCATTTCTCCTTCTCAGCCATCCAAATTAGTCATATTGCTCATCCCTTCTCCCCCTCTAAGTGACCTCCCGATGTAAGCGTCCTGCTTCCCCTCTGGTGAATTTTGATGTCTTCAGGACTTGATGAACCAAGCTAGAGTCTGAGCCTCCTGTCCTCCCCAAGAATTAAAATAAACACAATAAATTACATGTGGTTTTTTCCTCCAGCACTCAAAAGAAATGTGTTTGCTCATTTCTGTACACTATCTCAAACTCAGGGTTGCCCAAAAAATATATCCTCTTCTGGCTCTGAGACAGCCTGTCCAATTCCTTCTTGCTAAAGTCATTAGGATACACAGGACTGAAAAGGAATTTCTGCTTCATGAAATTAATCACATGTAACTTGCTATACAGTGACTTTCATAAAGGCATCAGATTCTTAAAGTGATTTAGAATTTATTTTGGGGACCTTGATCCTCTAAAGCTAATAAAGATGAACCAGTGGCTGGCTTCTTTTTTTGTAGCCAAATATCAGTACTTTCCAGAAGTCCTTTTATAGTGATATCTAATTTCCTGCTTAGCATTTCAGGAGATTTCCAACTTAGCTGCGTGTGAATGCGATCTCATCAAACATCAGTATTGATCACTGAAGCCAAATATTGGATGTACTTGCACTATGAACACTTGGTATCAACATGCAAATTCCAGGTTGCCCAAGGAAGTTGTGGATGCTCCTCCCTGGAAGTGTTGAAGGCCAGGCTGGATGAGGCTTTGAGCAACCTGGTCTAGTGGAAGGTGTCCCTGCTGCTGGCAGGGGGGTTGGAACTAGATGATCTTTAAGGTCCCTTCCAATCCAAACCATTCTATGATTCAGGCTGGACAATGTCTAGAATGGCACAATGAATATCCCATAACATTCAACATCTTCTAGAGATGTTTCTCCCTGTCTCTCACTCACAATCAGGCTGTATCCCACCCCGTGTCACTGGATTTTGTGGCTGATGTATGACCAGTGTGGTTGTATACAACATCAATTACCTACCTGCAAAGAATATCAGCTCACCACTCAGAAAGGATGATCTCCAAGGGTTCATCTTCAACTCCATATGGGGATTTCACAAGGGACTGGTTCCAGGATCATAGCTTGGTGTCTTAGCACCTTCCCTGTAGCTGTAAAACAAATCCCATCAGTATTATTTTTTTTTCACATTGCAGACCTGTAGGACCAACAGTCTGTGCTGTAGCAGCTGAGATGGATTGGGATGTGAGATCACAGAGAAAACACCGATTTACCTCTCACACAGTCTAAAGGATCAATATATTGCAAACTATACTCTTTTTCCTCCCACTCAACAGATGAATAGAGAACACGTGCCCCTCCAAGTAAACCATTTTCCAGCCAAGCTCAGGATGAGCTTCCCCCCAACTGGGGCCATGTTTCAGGAGACTGACTCTGATTAAGTGGTAAATGCAGATGAATCTTATCAATGTCTATAAATTATAAATATCTGAAATGTGGGGGCCAAATGGATGGGGCCGGGCTCTTTTTTGGTGGTGACCAGTGACAGGACAAGGGGCAGTGGGCACAAACTGGAACAGTGGAAGTTCCAGACAAACT